CTAATAGAAAATTTAAACATTATCCAGTTGAAAATTTATACCAATCATACACACTTGAAATCTCTTTCCCTACAAAACATTTTCTAGGCAAATTTTTTTCCTGTAAAATATTTTCTTTTCACCAATTTTCCACCCTTGCAATCAAACACACCCTTACTTTTAAAAAGGAAAAGAAAAATCTAAAACGTCTCGTTTGGGGGCCGTGTCTTGTTGGTTAGTCTTTATACAACTTCGACCCGTTTGTTTCACGCTTTTATGGTGAAGACTTCCTTCATCGTGCACTAAATTTATTTAAAGAGGCTGTTCAAATAATTTGGGATATTAAACAAAATCGCCCAAAGAGTTTTAAAAAATAGTAATATAAAAAAACATGGAGCAAATTTTGGAAATTCTGTCGATAATTTGGTATGATTGTTGGTGACTTTGATTAGAATCAATCAATATATGTTGATGATTCAGATAATATTATCAATCACGTTGCTGTTGGTGATCATCGATACACATTTGTCAGCAATTATTGACGATAATATCATCAATTATTATTGAAAATCACCGACATGCCTTGTTAATGATAATGTTTTTTTTTTTTATAACCGTGGATATCCGGGCCAACTTGCGCGTACCTCGACTAATTCCACGGAGCCCTAAAATTTACGGCCGGGTACTCACCTCAGTGGCCCTGAGGGGACTCGAACTGATGACCATTGAGGAGCAAATCCAAGGCCTAACCAATTGAGCAACCCCTCAATGATCTGTTAATGATAATGTCGTAAACTATTATCGAAATCATCGACGAAAATCCATCGATGTCACTTACAAATTTTTATTCTTTTTTTTATAAGATAACTAATAGAAATATAACTTCTTCCTCTTCTTCCTTTTTGTTTTTGACCGGAAAAGGAGTACCAAATTTTGAACTCTAAACCTTCATTGTGTAGAACACAATCCCTAACCAACCAAGATAATAAAGAATTTCTTTAAAAACTTTTTATAATATTATCAACTTATAGTTTATTTTTTTCAATTTTATTTTGTTTTGAAAGAGTTTGTTATTCTTAATTTTTATATTTTTATTAATTTATTTATTAACTAGTATTTTTTGATAAATTAAATTTATTAAACTGTTTTTAATGTTGGTAATCTTTAATATCAAAATTTATTTTTTTCACCTATCAATCTTTCTTCAACCCAAACTCTACGAGAAAAATATATTCAAGAAGTCATTCTCTCTAACATTGTTTGATTTGAGAGTTGGGTCCTCATCCTTCGTTTTCCTCTCTACTTCTTTCACTTTCATTATGCCCATCACTTTGTTAATATTCCTGGTCCACAATCATGTTTATGGGATTCCCTTATGACTTTGTTAGGTTAGTTGTTAGATGGTCATACATTGTCGACCCACGCAGGGACGGACGCAAAACTTTTACGTTGGGGGCATAATCGAACTTATAAAGAAGTTGGTATAAATTTTACAATTTACTTCCAAAAAAATCATACTCTATGTAATTTTACATCCAAAAAATTACTTGGAATATGACTTTTTCGGATGTAAAATTTCGAAATTTTTTGAAAATTTTCTAATAAAATGATGAAAATTATATCGAGAAATTTGTATCGCAAAAATAATAAATGTTAATGAAATAATAATTTTTTTTT